CTGTTTCCAACCTTTCCTGTTTCGGTCATTCACTACCGTCATATGGAAAATAGTAAACCTGCTGTCCTCTGCCTGGTCCAGCCTTTCCTACCAACACGATTCCAACCCCTCCTCTACTTGTCCCAACCACCTACAACTCCATTCCAACCATCTACCTTTGCTCCCTAACCACCTAGCCAACCTCCACCACCCATGGATCGAGCTCTAGCTTGAGTTCGTGTCGTGTTTGTTGTATTTCCCTTTCAAGTGCATTGATTTTAAGTGTTTATTTGTTTTTAGTGATATTATTTATTTTTCCTGGTATGGTTTAGGTTAACCCCACTATCATTTGGTATCAGAGAATCTAATCCTAGTCCTATTCTAGGGTTTCCAAGCATCGACCTCACCCTTCAAACAATAATTTTTTTCAATTTTTGAACCATAGCCAAAATTTTGACATAGCCCTAATTTCCTCTTGTTGATTTTCAAAATCAACAACCCTAAATTATTTTTTACGTCATCTTTCACCTCCCACTCTAAACCCTAGCTTATGTTACCAAGGAGATACATGCCCAAGCCTATTCGGGAAGATGTACAGTAAGAGATCCGCGGACTTCAGCAGAGGCTTGCAGACATTGGGGATGAAACTTAGGGAATAAATATCCTTGACTGTGATATGGAGGGTTGAAGGGGAGAATGAGAGAATCTTAAGATGAAGCGGGAGATACGACGTAGGTTCCTACCAGCTTACTACAAAAGAAATGTTCAGACTCTAGCTTCAAAAGTGGAGAGATAACATCACCGAACGACCACTCCATCTTATAGGTAGAGTTCAAGTTTAGAATTTTAGAACTAGAGTACATCCAGGAGAACACCCACTAATTCAGAGTGGAGAATAGGTGGAACCAATCCGCATTCTTAAATTTGTCACAACCAGGAAGTGTTGTAAGGTATATTGAATCAGATCGCACAACCATGAGGTGATCTGTTTCACTGAGTAGGGTGTTCTTGAAAAATTGGGTAATGAAAGATTAGACATTGAAGATGGTGAGGACAAAAAGGAGGACCGGTTTCTAGTTGAGGAGGAAAAGATGCATAGAGTTCCAGCTGTGCCAGTGGGAGAGATTCCGACCTACTTCATGTTGAGCGTCCAAGGCAATTTTGTATTTAAGGAACTGACACCAGAGGCATGATAACCCCAGATAAGAGAAATCCAAAATATTCAGATCTATAGACTTATTACTAAGTTGCCCCTAATAAGGGAGGTCGAACACATCAAAATGGGACTCTTTTGTGCCATGTCTAGAAGATTCCATGAAGTTTTTTAGATGTTATATTTAGTTCAACATGGTACCCATCATCAGATGTCCAGACAGGAGGGATGAAACCCAACCTTGAAATATGTCTTGGGAGCTTGATGGGGAAGAAACTTCTTAAATGGGATCCAGGTTCTATTAGTGGAGAAGTAGTCTTTCTTGGGTGATTGCTTTGCTACTGAGAATGGTACAGCTTGTCACAAGTGTCACCCGAATTGATTTGTCCTCGCATAATGATTTATCAACTACATTCTACTGAATATGAGAAGTGGAAAAAAGTTTCAGACTTAAGAGCTTAAGAGTTACGATGTGGGAACTTACATCTATATGCAGCTCCAACTCATAATGCGCCAAAAGAGGATGCATACTTATTCTTTCAAGATGTGTTGTGGAATGACAACATCTACATAATCGACCTACCAAGGGATTGCAGTATCTCTGCTCCTTCAACCTGGCAGATTTGAATCCGTGCTATAAAGAACCAGAAGCTTTGATGAATGAAGTCGAAGCTTTCCTAACCCCGGGAGATTGACGCAGGAGCTTATCTAAAAAAAACATATCGTGGTACTGTAGCTGCTACAATACCGCAAAATATTTATGCGGGAGACATGCCGAAATAATTTCGTTTATTTTCTATTATCCTTAATTCTTTTTTAGTCTTTTCCTATATATGTGTTGTATTATTGTATGGAAGTTAGTTTTTGGAGTGTTTTGTACCGGAACAGTCACCGACATCTCTTCTTCGCTTTGAAGGTTGTATCCTAGGGTTGCAAGTGATGCTTTGGTTGTATCTTGGTTTCCAGGTGGTGATTTATCCTTTCTCCATTGCTCCTTGCCACTCCACATTGTCCTTCCCTGCTGCAGCCACCCTCAGGAAAACAACTTTTGCTGTTTTTTTGTTGCTGTCTTCCCCGTCCCAGACAACCGCCCCTTGCTGCCCTACAGCCCCCCACTTCGTTTATACGCTGCCATCATTCGGGAAACAGTAAACCTGTTGTTTTCCTGCTGTCCCTGGCTGTTTCCAACCTTTCCTACCGCCCTTCGCCTCTCCGCTTGCCCCTTCACTTACCGGCCTTGTTGTCCCAACATTCTGCCTCACTGCCAAAGCGATTCCACCTCCTTTGGCTGTCCCATCCACCTACAACCCTATTTCAACCATCTACTTTCGCTCCCTAACCACCTAGCCGATCTCAACCACCAATGGGTCGAGCCCTAGCTTGAGTTTGTGTCATGTTTGTTGTAATTTCCCTTTCTAGTGTGTTGATTGTAACCACCAATTTGTTTCCAGTATTAATATATGTTTTCTTGCCATTGTTTGGGTTAACTCTGGTATCACTTTTGGTGGCATATCGATTAGCAAAAAATAAAATTGATGAGCGAGGGCTTGAAACTAGGAGGTGAAAGAAGAGAAGGATGACAAAACACTAGATAGGAAGGAAAGAACAGGAGTAACTAGGGTACCTCATGTTGCCAATCAGGAGGCGATCTGAGCGTGTATAACTTGGGTCTTTGAAGCACACAATTCTGCAAACAAACCTTACACAGAGGGAGAGGGGGTACAGAATCATAGCAAGTTGATTAACACATAGCAAGGGGAATTTTTTATATAACGATTATCATTCATTCATTGAACATTGCTTAATAAAATCCACCCTGATATGTAAAGAGGAGGGAAATATTACACGAGACTTAAAAGATTTATTAATTGAAACAATTATTACCACATTCAAAATATAGAAAAAAAAAAGATATAAATGCTCTTAAGTACAATGGTACCAATGAAATAAAACCATCATGATGTAGTTTTGCATCAGTTATGTTAGCTTACAAAGAACTTTACTCTGAAAAATTTGAGCATGCATGAAAGCGGCAGAATTGCGATCTTTAACAGCTTGTGGAATGTTAGGAGCTTTTATCATCACGTGTAAAGAGATTTGGAATCTTCTAGGTGGTACGTCTCCAAACTCCATGGACTTTTCATCAACATCCTTAGGCGGGGGATCCAGCGGGGCAGTTGAAACAACAACCTGATTGATAATGACCACCGAAGTTTGTAGCTTAGGATCTAAATTAGCTATTACTACCAATAGCAGAGTATGATCACATGCAAACATGTCTACAACCAAGAATATAGGCTCGAGAGTCGAGATCCTTTAAATTGGAAAACATAAGCTTCACTGTAAAGGTTGTATTTTATTAAATCAACAGGTAATCAAATGCAATATCCATAAATCATATAAATAATGATGATTGATGGGAACATATATAACGATTGTCAGAGTGATGGGAAGATTATAGGAGCTGTAACTGTAGGTCATTAAAAGATCAGCACATAGGATGTATGGTAGCCATTAGTCAACTCAACATAATTTACTAACTTTGATCATCACCATGAATAACTAAACTAGAGTTAAGATCATCATTATTAGAAATAGTCAAGTTATCAACCCATCTTATCGGTTGTATCTCAAATATTGTGCTTTATTTGTTAAAGATGTGTAGCCTTATTGAAAACTGGCATGAAATGTTTATCTCATTAATAGATGATGACTCCAAAATTTATACAAGAATCTTGTTGTGGAGAGTTTGTGCGTCTATCATTCAATGGATTGTGGGAGATTGCCCCCAGGACAAACTACTGGTGGATGTCTTTGTAAATAAAAATGGTAGTCATACATGCACCGGCCAATAATGACTTTGTTCTTGAAGTAAGGGAAAGAAGACTTCAAGCTCATGGACCATCATAAGGGTTGAAAATTGACTTGAGCCATATGTTTTAGAAATCAAACAAAATATGGTATTCCTTATCTCTGAGAAGGAAATAGAGAGATATGTAAAGAGATTAAGGGTTATAAAAGTAAAAATAAAAAATAAAATGGCTTTTGTAAATGGGCCACATGTTACATACTAGATGGGAAAATAAATTAGTACATAAATAAAATTACATTTTTAATCTACCTTATCTTGGGTGTATGGCCCATGAAAACACCTCGCATGCATTCGTATGTTTACTACATAAAGATTGAGATATGCATAAAAGATCAAAATGAGTTTAAAAGGTCAATGAATAGTAAAGAGCAGAAGAGAGAAAGATTAACAAATTGATTTAGGGTAGATCATCCCAATCCTTTCTTCCAATCTCTAAGTGTGTTTTCTTGGGAATTCCTCTAATTTTTCCTTTGTAAATCATCCGGAGAAAGCTTGTACAATCTCTCTTTTATACACTAGTGAGGAGAATCTCTAAGCTTGTTTACGGCAAGTAGTTCACCAATGATGCCATTAACTAGCTATATCACACACAAAACTCTGGAATTCACTAGACTATGTCTTAGCCTCTGCATATGCAAGAAATATAAAAACATGAGAATTGAAGAGGGAACCTAGCTTAAAATCTATTGAATATATGAGAAGAATGCAAAGAATAAAATTAAAAATAATTAATGATTAGCGCTGCCACCAATGGGCAGGGCTATATTCGAGCCGAGTATATCATAGTTTGGACTTGACTTGGTATAATTATAAATTGTTCATGTTCGGCTTGTGCTTGTGTTGAGACTTGGTATAATTATAAATTGTTCATGTTTGGCTTGTGCTTGTGTTTTGTGTTGAGCTTTCACATATTGTTCAAGCTTGACTTGTTTAATTTTTTCAATGTTTGAACTTGATTTGTTTATGACAAGTGAACAAGTATTTAAATGAGTTAATAAATAAGGTAAAAATTCGAATGAAACTAAATTTTCATATAAATAATGTAATAAATAATTTTACAATTCTAAATAAATAAACAATTAAATAAATTATATAAGCAAATGAACTAGCTCACATGCTGCCATCTAGTGTCTATAATAGATATATTCTCATGAGAATGAATTCTAAGATAGAGAAAAAAATATTGAACAAGAGCAAAAAAATCTAAGTGACCTAATGTTATATAGTAACTCATAATATGAAACATTCATCAATCGCAGAAATAATTGAAAATAATCAAAGATAGTTTGATCAAGCATAATATACGAGAATGAATAAAATATGATGTTCACTTTCAGATTTTTATCATATTATTTTTCAAAAAGTGAATAATTAATAATAAAATAAATATATGATTATTGATATAATAATATATTACTATTAAATCTATAATTAAATAAATTCTAGCTAACCAAATTTTATTTAAATAATATGTAATATATGATGCGAGTTGTATTGGAGCTTAATATCGAGTATTTTACATGCTACTTGTTGAACAATAAACGAGTTTGTTCGTGAACGTAAATGATAGGTGAATAAGTTCGACTATGTTCATGTTTAGTTCATTTAAGATTCAAAATTGAAAAAATTGTTCAAGCTTGTTTATTTACTATTTTGAATGAACTTGATCTAATCTTAATCGAACGAAGCTTGTTTATTTACTATTTTGAATGAACTTGATCGAATCTTAATCGAACGAAGTTTGAGTTGTTCATCGAGTGCATTGGTTCATTTACAGCCCTACCAATGGGGTATATAAATGTTCAATATTTTATAGAAATTGACACTAATAATTTTATCATATAGCCCTTGGAGCCATACAATAGCAGTTTCTTCTATAAACAATCACATTGTTGTATTGTTTGAACATTTAGATGATCATCAATTCATCCTGTTCTGGTTCTCCTAGATCAACGAAATGATCTCTGGTTTGATTTTTAGCATATCACATTGATTGATTACCAATGTCTTAACAGTTGGCTTACTTCCCATCCCCTCCCCCCAAAACAATCCTCCTAAAGAGGGAAATGAAAAAATGGGTTATTATCTGTATCTATGGTTGGAATATTTTTGTTGCACAAGTATGAAATCTGAAATTCAGTAATCACCTTTCAATGCATGGCTAATGAGTCATATATTTACTCTAGCTTAGAATATATCATGTACAATTTTTGAGTATCTTTTTGGTGCCCTGATTTTTAGAAGTTTGTCTTGTTTAGTTATTCAATCGGTTATCATTTTCATTATTAGTGTTATCTTTAACTTTGTTGGGTTGGCTTTACGAATCATCTTTCATTAATTAATTGTTTAGTGTTGCATGACTTCTAACTCTATTTTTTCAAGCTATTTTTGGACTTATATTTATGTTATTTGCGGTCTATCCAAATTTTTTGGTACTCCGTATGCATTAGTTACTTTTAAATCTCCATATAGCTCTGAAATAAACTACTGAATTTTAAATTTTTGCTTTTACTGAAGATCTGAGAAGTTCAATCTCTAATCAACATTCATCTCAAAAGGTATCTAGTGGAAGCCGAACAATTAATTTGAGGGTAAAAAGTAGTGTCAAAGTCAAAGATTGGGTTGCTGCAATAAACGATGCTGGTCTGAGGCCTCCTGAGGGGTGGTGTTATCCTCACCGTTTTGGTTCGTTTTCCCCACCACGGGGCTTGATTGAAGATGGTAGTCAGGTACAGTGGTTTGTTGATGGCCAGGCTGCATTTGATGCTATTGCATCTTCCATTGAAGAAGCAAAATCAGAGGTATTTCTATGCTGTTTTTTTTTGGGGCACTTGTTTACATAGCACACAATTCTAATGTGTTTACACATTTCACACCTAAAATTTCATATTTACAGGCATAGCACTCAAATATTCAATATCACATAAAAAATATTACTATTATAACTTATTACAAGTAAAAAGCAATTTTTCATGCATAGTTTTAGGACAACAAAGTGCTATGTATGTAAATATTAAAGCATAGGTGTTAGGTATGTAAATTTCCCCGTTTTAAAATTGAAAATGAATGTCATTGTGTCTCTGATAGCTATTATTTTCCCAGCTCTACCATCATTGTAAAGTCTTTTGCAGATATTTATTGCTGGTTGGTGGTTGTGTCCAGAGCTTTATCTTCGACGTCCTTTTCACACGCATGCATCTTCACGACTTGATATATTGCTGGAAGCGAGGGCTAAGCAAGGTGTTCAGGTATCTTCTCTGCCAGCTTAACAATCCACACCGCTCTCTCTTTCGATTTCCTAGTGATTTTGGAATTTTCCTTTAATTAAAAATTTTCAAGTTATTCTATTCTGTTATGCTACAAATAATGGAGTGCTACGAAGTGATCAGGGTGGCATTGTTCTCTATTTACATTGGTTTTGAAGCTTCACAAACACATACTTAGAAGAAATATATTTGTTTGTCAGTATCCGTAATGCTAGAGATTTTCAACTCCATATGAGACAAGTCTGATAAAATCTTCATTGTGACCAATCTGTTTCCATTATGAGTTTGAAGTCATCAGTTTGAATCTCAAAATAATTTCTTTGTTTTGCCAGATAGGATCGTAAAGAAAATTTCTCTCAAAACCCATGTTGACTTGAAGCTCTTATCTTTCATTCTTTGTATGTTTTTTTATGCCAAAATGAAGATAAACAGAAACAATAAAAGGAGGGGTGAGAGAGAGAGAGAGGTTAATTTCTGAAATTTACATAGTGAGATTGGCAAATCTACACTAAATTAGGCCCCCTAATGTTGGAATTCTAGTGCCATCCACTTATGAATTGTCCATAACTCACTAAACAAGCCAAGCTGGAAAAAAATACCTACATTCCTCTTAAATTTCTAGTTAGTTACTTCTATAAGAAGGAGAATAATATTATATTATTATGCAAAGTGCCAAAATAGTCCCCTGACTTTTAACATAAAGCCATTTTTGTCTCAGAGTCTATAAAAGTGCTAAATTAGTCCTCATACTCTTTAAATATGGGCTGAAATTGTCCATAAGAAAGACTATTTTAGCCCCCTTTAAAAGCTTTTTGGGACTAAATTGACACTTTTATAGACTGAGGCTAAAATGACCCCTAATGTAAAGTCACAGACCATTTTGACACTTTTCTCTTATATTATTATTGTGTTTCCTATCTGTCTTTTTTTCTAGCTGTATCATCTCAGGTTTATGTGTCCGCTACATAGATTGCACTTGACTCTTCTCATTGAAATAAAGAAATAGAATATCCTTTTCTTTTTTGTGGTTCGAACATGGTATGAGCGACATCCTCTATGGCCTTTCTATTTCTCTTGATTCCCTAGTTTTCTCATAGTTCATCCTGTCTTTTGGCTTTCAATTGCAGCTTCCCCGATGTCAACTTAGCCGTGATTCTATTTCTCTTGGCAACCGTGACAATTCTTATATCCGTTGGTTATTGGCACAAGTTGAACATGCAAAACTGCCTTCAATGAGTTGAATCAATTATAATATTCATTAGTATATGACTACCTCGTGTATGAGGCCATTTATCCTCAAAATGAGGACCCAAAGTTCATAATATGGAATCTGAAAACAATATGGTAAAGTACTGTCTTACTAATACCATAAAAAATGAAATGGTACAAATTTCATGTTCTGTGGGCCCGCAAATGAAAACTTGGATGCCACCGACCATAAAAATATTCTAGAGTTACTTTGTGATCAAATGAACTTTATAATTTTTGACTTAGTGATTTTTTTGTCACGCAATATTATAATACCCTTACAACTAGATGTTTTTTAAGCATTGAATTGTGAATATCTAAGAGATGCAATAAAGTATTGCAAATTGTTGAGAAAGATGGAATATAAAAATTTGTACTCAAACTAAATAAAAATTTTGATGAATTCTAAAGTAGGATATTTTGTAGAAAAATTCCGCCAACTATATGGAAAGCTTTCTATGAAGTTCAGAGATAAAAAAGTCGGAATGAGATCATGTTGGTTGATAAAGGAGGTCCAACTTAACCTATTTAAATTCAATGATAATTTTATAAAGAAGGATTTAGTGAGGCGGTGCATGGATCCCGTCTCGTGGAATGATCGTGAGTGGGGGGATCGGGTTGCATAGGCTCTGTTTGTTTTCTATCTATAAATTTTTTTTTAACTTTCATTCATTTCTAGTCCTTTCCTATATATGTGCTGTACTAGAGTTTAGATTTCAACTTTTGGCATGAGTTTGTTTAGGATAGCAGCCGGCGTCCGTTTTCTCCCTTCGAGGGTTGTAATCGAGGGTTTGGGTGGTGCTCGACTGTATGTCTTTCCCGATGGGTGATTATCTTCCCTATCCCCTTCCACATTCTCCCCACGTCGCTCTCGGTTGCCGTATCTCGCTGTAGCCGTTTGCAACAGCATTCCAATTGCTATTTTCTGCAGTTCGAGCTGGGCCATTGTGCCTTCCCCTCCCTTCTCTTGGCTGCTATCGCAATGCCATCCCTCCACCTTCATTGCCGCCACTGTTCCGTCCCTCGCCTCGCTGTTTTGACGGCTATCCAGCCATCTTTATGGCTGCCGCCATCCGAAAAACAGCATACCTGCTGTTTTCTTGCTGTCTCGCCGCCTCCTACTTGCTGCCATTCCCCGAAACCTGCTCCAACTGCTTTTATACTTCATCCCAATGCCCCGGGACAACTGCTCACTGCTGTTCCTGCCTTCCCAGCCGCTCCTCTCCTCCCCCTTGTTGTCGCCAAACCCACACAACCTGCTCCTTGGCTTTTACTGATCCGAACAGCCCTTCCGCATTGATTCTGACAGCTTGTTTGCTGTATGGAACCTGAAAAACAGTCTCCTTGCATCGATTCCAGCATATTGTTTGATGCATGGAACCTTAACAGTCTCCTTGCCGTTTCTGCTTGCCAACCACCATTTTTCATCACCTGCGACCTTCTAGACCATCATCGACCACTAACACCCCTCTTGGGATACAATCTTAAATGCATTTGTCTTATGTCTATTGCTATTTCTATCTTCATTTGTGTGATTTTATTTCTCTAATTATGAATTCAGCAATAATATTTGATTTTCTTATCCTTGTTTGGCTTGACTTCGGTATCATTTGTTATAAGAGCTAGCCCGACTCTTGTCCTATCTTATAGTTTATAGCATTCACCAATAATCAATACCACCTCCACACAAAATTCCTTGCCTTTGCTGAATTTTTAATTAGACCACTCACATTCTTTTTTTCTCACATGACATCCTTATACACCTCTTCCACCTATCCAAACCCAAGCCCCAATTAGACTGCCAAGGAGGCAATTGCGGAAACCTGAACGGGAATTTTCATGGATGACATACAAGGACTACTCAGCCAAGTGTTACAATTGCTTGATGACATTGAGGCAAGGACCCAGGGCGAGATCACCGTCGACCCTAAAAATAAAATTTGTGGAGGAGAGCGAGATGGCCATATGAATCCCTTTTGTAGGGATGATTTCGATGAAGAGGAGGATTGACTAGGCACTTTGGTATACAATATTAGAGGAGGAGAATAAACTAATTAAGGGTCAAAGTTGTCTCCAATTAGATTCCTCAAGTTTATGAGGTGGCCGGTTGGCCCACCTTGCTAACTTTCCACATAAGGATTTCACCAAAACTGAGAAAAGGTTTGGTTTCTAGTGGTCAAAATATTCTGAAATTTGTAATATGTAAGATCATAATTCCAAAAGTGGCTCTCGTCCGCGTAAAAGGGAAAATTTTGTTTCAATGGAATTATATGTGGTGTGGAACATACAATAATCAGTCGGATCTTTAGGCTCTTTTTAATATCCCACTTGATGAAATGAGTTAACATCTCTTTCATGATATTATTCTCTTGATTTCAGTCTTTTGATTTTATTAATATTGATTTCAAATCCTTAACTTTTTTTCTGATTTATTCTTTTGATCACGGACTCGTTTTGCACATTCCACCACCCCTTGCGGGGGTTGGGAATATGTCATGTACAGCATCTGCTTTGCATCCAAAATTCTGACGGGTAGCAATGTGCAGATTTACATCCTTCTGTACAAAGAAGTTGCCCTTGCTTTGAAAATTAACAGTGTATACAGCAAGCGGAGACTCTTAAACATTCATGAAAATGTGAAAGTTCTACGTTATCCAGATCATTTCTCAACCGGCGTTTATTTGTGGTATGAAATTCCATTCAACTAATTCAAACATTATAATGATTCTCTAACAAAAATAAACTAATTTTCCATTTCAACCTTCCATTCATGTAAAATGCTTATCCATTCTAGGTCCCATCATGAGAAAATCTTAATAGTTGATAATCGGATTTGTTATTTGGGTGGACTTGATTTGTGTTTTGGTCGCTTTGACAACCACAATCACCAAATTGGTGACCATCCTCCTTTGATTTGGCCGGGAAAGGATTACTATAATCCAAGGTAAATTTATTCAATGCCATTGATTACTTAGACTAAACTTGTTTTTGTTTCAAATTTAAATTAAATTTCTTTTTTTGTTAATTAAGGGAGTCTGAGCCAAACTCGTGGGAAGATACAATGAAAGACGAGGTGGACCGTAGTAAGTATCCCCGTATGCCATGGCATGATGTTCAGTGTGCTCTTTGGGGACCCCCATGCAAGGATGTTGCCAGACACTTTGTTCAGCGCTGGAACTATGCAAAGGTTGATTCTGCTTTATGGTTCTTTGATTAATTCTGTGTTATATTTTACACTAGATTATAATATTTTCTTATTTGTAGAGAAACAAAGCTCTGCATGAGGAGACGATTCCTTTGTTAATGCCTCATCATCATATGGTTATTCCTCATTATATGGGACACAGCAGAGAAGTTAATGATGATAGTAAGCAACAAGAAAACAATCTTAGAGGACTTAAAAGGCAGGAATCACTTTCCTCTCGCTCTTCTTATCAAGACATACCATTACTTTTGCCCCAGCAGCCTGATGGGCTAGACAACTTTAGCAGAAATCCGAAGATGGAAATAAATCAAAATCTTGCAGAACAACGAAGTAAGGCAAATCATGGTCCTGCCTTCTCATTTCGGAAGACCAAAGTTGAGCATCCAATTCCAGATATGCAAATGAAGGCTTTTGTTGATGATATTGATTCTTGTCAAACCCGGGGAGATGGGAATTATAATGGGATTGCACAACCGGCTTTTCTTAATATTGATAATGAGTGGTGGGAAGCACAAGAGCGTGGTGATCAGATTGTCTCTACAGAGGAAGTTGGACAAGTTGGTCCTCGTACACCTTGTCGTTGTCAGGTTAGTTCTTTTTGATAAATGAACTCGTTGATTACCTTTTTTTCTTGCCATTTTGGTTCATTATCGCACCGATTTCTTGTTGACTATACATAGTTTTCTTAAACTGTTTAATAGTATCCATTTTGGTTCATTATCGCACCGATTTCTTGTTGACAATACATAGTTTTCTTAAACTGTGTAATAGGATCATGAAGGTTTTATTACGTTGATGTAAAATGCGAGGAAACAATTTATTTGGCATGCTTCTATGTTTTTTATTTTTTCACATATTACAAAAACCTAAGCAGAAAATTCCAAGGGCAATATTTTTGCAGAGATATTCGAGAAATAAAGTTAACTTTCTTGTAGGCTACTGATTTAAGTTGTGTTTCAACATGATGAAAGGTCTTTAATATTCAGAGGGGGAAGTTAGGTGTATTATAGATCACTAACTTGATGATTATTTAATGTCATTAGTGCTTATATTAACTGATTTAAATCGACATATCAGTGACATAAGGATAAGATATCCACTAGGCATGTCTACGCTTTGGCTGGTGGAGTATAATCAATTTTCATTGTTTTCATTATATTGCTGGAGGATAATCATTTAACGTGAAGAGTGATCAAGTTAGACTTCCGTCAAACTTATTCTTTACCAAATTTTTATCAATTTTAATCTGCTTAGCATGGTTATGTTGCATGATTCTGTGGCAATATTGATGTCGGACTTGTTATCACAATAGAGTTTTATAACATCTTTTTATTCAACTTTCAATTCTTTCATGATAATTCCAACCTTAACAATTTGCAAATTTCTATTACATAGATCTAAATTTGGTTTATGTGCTAAATTCTTCTACCGCATTTTATTTTATTTTATTTACTTTTATAGTTATGGGATTGCTTCTTAACAATGTACAATAGTTTCAAGTCGACCTCCCGTTAACCATAAAACTTGCATATTTGCACCTGTGTATTTCTGAATAAATTTTCCTTCATCCGTTGTAATATTCTATATAATGCCTTGAATGTGATTATTTTCGATTAAGCATGAATTGACTCACCACACTGATAATTTAAGCATGTCAGGTTGCATATGTGATCAGTAGATGAGTTTCATGTAAGCCATTGATAGGTCTTTATTTTCCATACTGAGGTTTCCTTCATCTGTTATAATAGTTGGCAGGCTGGCAGAAGTTAGTGGGTGTGGATGGGCTAGCTGGATTTAGCTAGGGTGGACGGGTTAGCTGTGGCAGAAGTCAAGGCGGGCTGTCTAGAGGCTGATTTACTTGCTTTTAAGTGTCACATATATAGCTATGCTTTAAAGTTTCATGCACACATGCGCTTTCAAGTGTCACAGCCTTCCGCGTCTCTCCTTCTTCAAGTATTGCAAATTGGTCCTTTCTACCTATGGTGGCATCAACCTAAAACTAAATTCCATAGATGCTAGATGCTTATTGCTAAACTGAATATATACTCAAAGAGAGGACAAAATGGATGGATCATGCCTGTGTTGGGACATTTACGTACATACCACCTAATTCCTATGTATTTTCATATGACACCAAAACTTTACTTTTTACCTTTATACCATCCAAAATTTTCATATCACGTAAAAATACCACCATTTTTAACTTTTAAAATGTGAAATACACATTTTCATGCATAGCTAAGGTGACATGTATGTAAAAATTGAGGTTTAGGTGTTAGATATCTAAGGAATTGAGTGATATGCACGTAAATCTTTCTTATATGTTTTGATGAAGATTTGAGCTAGCGTCCCCAAATTTGATAAAGGCTAGACCATTACCATGAGTCTGTTGGATCGGGAAAGAATAGAACTTTCCATCTACTGAACTCAGATTAATCAACCATTAGTACCAATCATTCCCAGTAAAAAAAGGGATCATTATTCCCTTTGCTGATTTAACTCATGCAGATAAATAATCAACAAAGATTAGATCTTCACTTTGTTTTGTGAGAGCACAAATATATTGAAGAGAGTTATACTGACACTGGTGAACGAACGACCACTGTACATAGATAATTACATTGCAATCTGTAACTGAGGTTTTCTTTTCTTATTTTTAAATGTTTTATACAAGATTAACATTGCTTTCTTTTTTATACCGCACATACAATTATCTTCTTTTCAATGATATGTGGAGTCCAGGTCATTAGAAGTGTTGGCCAATGGTCTGCTGGAACAAGCCAAACAGAAGAGAGCATCCACAATGCATACTTTTCTCTAATTGAGAAGGCAGAACATTTCATTTATATTGAGGTATGGAGGACGCTTCTTACGTTATTGCATGAAGTGCATTTTTTCTTCTAACTATTTCAGAATTTTATGATTTCTACTAATAATAAATTAATTGAGTAAAATAAAATTGCAAATGATAGACTGATAATAGATTGATAACTTCATTATAAAAATGAGATAAACAAAATATTATCTATTTTATAAAAAATTGAGAGTTGGAAGACTTCAAAAGTAGAAATAAACAACTTCTGGCAAATAAAAATTATACGAATCAACATGGGTTAAAATGGACTTTTTTTTTTGAAAAGCCCAATGGCTGATTTTATTGAAGTAGAAAAGATATATAAATGTTGTATGAGAGAGCCCAAAAAAGGGCACCCTGCCCATATTACAATAATACCAAAACAAAAAGATACAGATAGAGTCAATAAAAAGTAAAACAAATTTAAAACATGCAGAAAACAAGTAGCTAGGGATGAGCCAGTTTAGTCCTGCCTTTTCCTCTAGTTTTAGGAGCGGGGCCAGATAACTAACTGTGAAGAGTCGTGTCATTGCTAGGAGTAACTAAAGTATCATTCATTAAGTTTCCAAGTTGGAGCGTGCCCCCAGTTTTCTTCTTCCGCCGAGAAGTGTAAACCTGCCACTCTTCATTTGAAGACTGACTTATGTGATCATCGGTCTGATTTGATGTAAGAACCATAGTAGAAGGAAAGACAGTAGTTGCCACCGCGATAGGTTCTAGTGTATGTGAAGTGTGAGTTGTTACCTCTGCACCTAATGCTTCTTGAATATGAGTTGCGGGACTATCCTGATTTTCGGTTCGAAAATTATCTGTTGTAGTATGGTTAGGAGAGGGATCTTAGGGGCAGACACTAACTCCTGTCTTGTGGTGATTCCCTCCTTAGGTTGACTGTCATCAGGTTTGCTAGGAGCGCGTTCAGACACATGGGATGCACTAATAGTGTGTTCCTGCTTTTGACTATTGGTTCTCAACTGTGGGTGAAATTTGAAACATTTCTCCTGCGGGTGTCCAAACATCTTGCAGTACTTGCAATAGTAAGATTTTTGTTCTATAATAATTTTTCGCCAATAACTATTGTGAGCAGATCCGAGCCAGAATTCTTCTATATCTGGTATTGTAATATTTTTTTTAATCAAAATCCTTGCAATAGAGTGCCTTGAGAAATGAACTGTAGGTAAGTCTACCTGCAAAAGTTTTTCAATAATAGTCCCAATTGCATATAAGATAGGTAGGTCAAAGAATTGAAGCTTGAGTTCAGGTAATGAGAACCAACTATGTGCAATTGGGGGTTCTTGACTGAGATCAAAATTATAGGTTCATTTGAGTAATTTCATATGTTTGCCCTCGATTGTAATGAATTTCTTTGAGAAAATCCTCGTGTAATCTTTTTATATGTTCAGCTGTATCATAACATGCCTTCCGTCGAAATGACTCACCTGCCAATCCCCAACCAGTTTGAAATCTTCAAAAACCTTCTTGATGATCTCCATCTTAGGACAACCTAATTGGAACTTTTTAACTAGTGTAAATTTGTATTTTCCTGCACAAGTTGAAATTTCAGCGTTAGAGAAGAATATTGCTGGTTTGTCCTCTATTTTCTCTTCTTTTTTGATGAGATTGCAATCGTCATTTCCTGTAATTGAATCTTGATACATCTGCGGGAATACCAAACTATCTGCGAGGTGGAAACGGGAGCTGCGTTTGTGAACCACTGTAGCATAGGAGGCTTTGGCGGGATTATCACCGGCGACGACGACAACGTAGGAAAATCCTGAGGCCATCACTGCAGCAAATGACGCAACCAGTGCTCGAGCAGTCGAGCGGCCTTTACGAACCTGCAGCACGAAGAGTCACAGACGAAGACGACGCAGTTGGCTGGACGACGCCTCGACGACGCAGCAGGCGAGCAGGCTTGACGACGCAAACTCCTCTGCCAACCAGAGCCGAAGACGAAGACAAAAAGGATCGAAACGAGCGAGCTAAAACGATGTCTGTTTCGAGCTAGGGTTTGCCATGAGCAGAAACCCTAGCAGAGCGAAGAAGAAAACCCATGGATATATATTTGAGGGGATTATATGTCAGCTGCTATATATATATAAACTAAAATCCACTTTGTATCGGTTATTCATAAAGCCTACATTGAAATCCACTTTTATGAAGCGTGCATATAACTCAAATCAATTTTCATGAAGTCTGCATATCATTTGAAGCCACTTTGGCTCGTTATCATGATGCCTACAAATTTTACATGATGGCTACAAATTTTACGATATAAGTAACGCGATTGAGAAGCTTTTGATAAAATGATAATAAAAATATATGATATTAATTGATTATATTTAAAACCATTCCTAAAGAAAAATTGAATGGAAAAAATGGAAACCAAGAAACTATATCCAAATTCTAGAAAATCAATAAAGTAGGTCTTATGAATTTTGGTCGTTGGAGGCCCGCATATCACTTCTTCTCCAGCTCTAGCTGTCTACTCCTTAACTCCCAACTTCAGAATCTTGCGACCTCACATCTTAAACAATTGTTGTTAGGTTTTTTCCTATAGTGAGTTGTTCTATAAGCCGTAAAGACTTTCATTTATCTTTAAATATAAGAGCTTCGTAACAAAAATAAAAAAAAAGAGGAAGGACAAGAAAGAGGAAAAGAGAGAGAAGAAGAAGGACAACAAACACAAAAATAATAAAGGAAATCAAAGAGAAACAACATAAGCAAGCAAGAAGAGAAATAACAAACTGCATAAGAAAGGGGAGACATAGAATACAGGGAAGGAAGAATGACAACATAAATACGGGGAGACATAGAATACAGGGAAGGAAGAATGACAAAATAAAAGAAAGAAGACGAGCAATGTTGTTCATCTTGTCATCTCGAATGAGCGCGCTCTAACGATCTTAGTTGAGCCTTTCACTACAGAAATCTTGATTTCAGATCAGTAGAGGGAGGTATCTTTGTTGAGCATTTCGCTACCGAAACCTTGATTTCAGATCATTAGAGGGAGGTATTCTAGCTGGATCTAAGATTTGACGAAACAAAAAGGTAATTTGTATCCCGGTTGGATCTAAAGATCGATTGAGCTCGGGTCTTTGTTGGAGAAGGTAAGATTAATCTCTTTTTTTGCTGTCATTTTTTCCTTCTCCGTCTTCTTTGTCTCTTCTTTTTTGCAGTTTGATGTTTCTCTCCTTACTTTTGTTATTTTTCTCTTTGCTTGCCTTTTTCATTCTTTCTTTGCTTATCGTTCTTCTCCTTCTCTCCCTTTTCTTCTTGCTTGTACTTCATCTCCTTTTTTTATTTTTTGCGGAAGCTCTTATATTTAAAGATGAATGAAAGACTTTTCGACTCATAATACTGCACAATGTGGAAATGAACATGGCTGCAGGTGTTTGCGATGTAGGGTCGTGGGACTCTAACGTGCGGAGTCATTGTGTAGACAATTGGAGCCCTAGTGGAATCAGGTGATGTGCGAGCCTCTAACAACCAATTCATAAGGCCTGCTTCTCTTGCAATTTTTCAGCATTTGGACAGGGTCTTTGTTTCTTTATTTTTTTTCCAAGCGTTTAGTTTTTATGTAGGGATAATTTTAGTTATAATCTATTATTACTATATATATTTATTATTAATTCATTGAAAGCTTCTCCCATGTTGCTTATAGCATGCAAGTTACAAGCTTCATAGATAACGAGCAAAAGTGGCTTCAAAACATATGCTGGCTTCATGAAATTGGATTTAAGTTCTATGCAGACTTTATAGAAGTGGATTTTTATGCAGACTTCATAAAAGTGGTTTTTATGTAGGCTTTGCTTTGATGAAGATATTTAATATAGATGGGTAGATATTTTTATAAAGTTTTCAATGAAAATTGTGAAAATACGATGAACTTTGGTGACCTTAATATGATAAATGATAACAAAACTTTTTATTTCTATCGTCAAATTATTAAAATGGAAGTTGGAGAGGTTTTAAAGAACATGAGAGTAATAATTGATGATATTCCAATAGAAGTGCGGAAATATTTAGGAGATATTAAAATTTCTTGGCTTACTAAACTTTTTTGATATTATTTTAAAACTAAAAGATGTCTGATGAGTGGAGAGAGAGTATTGACTGTCATTTTTAAGAATAAAGTGGATGCACAAGAGTGTGCAAATTATAGAGGAATTAAGTTAATTTGTCATAAATTAAAGTTATTGGAGAATGTAATTGAACATACATTACGCATGATATAAAGATTTCTCAAAATCCGTTTGGATCCATGCTGGGGAAGTCTACTATGGAAGCTATTCATTTATTGAGAGGTTTGATGGAGAAGTAAATAGAGATCAAGGATATACATATGATTTTTGTTGATTTAGAAAAAGCTTGTGATAAGGTTCCAAGACAAGTACGTTAGAGAGTAATGGAAAAGAAATGTGTTGATATTGCTTATAATCAAGTCATTAAATAAATTCATACTAGAGTCATTACTTTTTGTTCGAACAAACAGAGGATTGACCAAACATTTACATCAAGGATCGGCTTTAAGCCCATATCTTTTTGCTTTAGTTATGGATGTTCTTACCGGACATTTACAGAAGGATTTGTCCTGATGTATTATTTTCGTTTATGATATCCTTCTAGTGGATAAGACTAAAAAGCTTGTGATAAGGTTCCAAGACAAGTACTTTAGAGAGTAATGGAAAAGAAATGTGTTGATATTGCTTATATTCAAGTCATTGCTTATAATCAAGTCGTTAAATAAATTCATACTAGAGTCATTACTTTTTGTTCAAACAAACAGAGGATTGACCAAGCATTTTTTTTTAATTTCAGTTGGTTTACATCAAGGATCGGCTTTAAGCCCATATCTTTTTGCTTTAGTTATGGATGTTCTTACCGGACATATACAGAAGGATTTGTCTTGATGTATGCTTTTCGTTTATGATATCCTTCTTGTGGATAAGAATAGAGAGAGAGTTAAGGAAAACTTGAATTATGGAGGTCAACTTTAGAGTTTAATGACTTTCATTTGCATAGATCTAAAATTGAATACATGCAATGTGATTTTAGTGGTAATAGATCTAGTCATGAGGTTGTAACAATGGTGATCAAATCATTAAAAGGGTGAACATTTTAGATATCTCGGGTGTATTGTTCATGGGGATGTTATTAGTAGAATTATGTTTTATGATTGAAGTGGAGGAATGCATCAGGTTTATTGTGTAACAGAAAAGTACCGCTTAGACTTAAAGGTATATGTTATAAGACGGCGGTGAGAATTGAAATGCCTTATGACAGAGAATGTTAGCTTATAAAAGTGAAGCTTAAAATTAAGCCAAGTGTTGTTGAGATGAGAATGCACAGATGGATGAGTGACTTTACACTTGAAGACAATGCAAAATGAATGTATTTGTGAAAAGTAGCTTTAATGGCGGACAAGATTAGAGAGAGACGTCTTAGTTGGTTTGGTCGCATTGAACGCCTTCCATCCAATGACTCGGTATGGAGAGTAGATGTTTTAGATTCAACTTATATTAAGAAAGACAAATGTAGACCTAAAAAGATTTGGGCATATTGTATTAAAACATAATATTAAATTATTATAATTAAATGAAAATATGACACTTAATAGGACACAATAGAGAAATATGTCTTCAAGTTGTTTATTTTTGCTGTTTTGTTTCTTTTTTTATAAGTAGTAGTAACCATAAAATTCTGAAATAATTAGAAGAAAAAGTGCACTTGATTATCACCATTAATAAGATGAGATATTAGTTAATATTATTTTTATCACTGTTTTATAATATATATGTGTGTGTATGTGTATATATATATATTTTAGAATGCCAAGAGTAGAGCACTGGACTTCTTTTAATAGTTTCAGTACAGCTTGTATGCTGCATAATCTTGAGTACGGTGCCACTATGTATTTTGGTAGGGGTTTTCAGAATAAGTTACTCTTTCTAGCCTAAGCTTGAGTTCTTCATCATTCGGAATTCAGTTGTAGATGATTTAATGCCTTTTGTTAATTTTTCATAATATACAATATATATTTACTAGGAAATGATTTAATTTTGATCACTAACCCAAGTGCCCTTGAATTTCCAGAATCAGTTTTTTATTTCAGGGCTTTCGGGAGACGATATAATACGCAATCGGATTTTGGATGCATTGTATAGGCGTATCATGCGAGCACACAAGGAAAACAAATGTTTTAGGGTTATTATTATCATACCCCTTTTACCAGGTTTCCAGGTATCATTTAATAACATATATTTCTCTCTCCATCTGTAAGAAAATCATCTATCTGAAGATATATTTTATCAGGGCGGCATTGATGACAGTGGCGCTGCATCAGTAAGGGCTTTAATGCATTGGCAATATCGAACAATTTGTAGAGGACCAAGTTCTATATTACAGAATCTTTATGACATAATGGGGCCTAAAGCCCAGGATTACATATCCTTTTATGGTCTAAGATCATATGGCAGACTTCATGAGAGTGGTAGCTTAGCCACCAATCAAGTAAGACTTTGTTTTTGTGAATAGTCTCTTAATTTGGTTTTGGCTAATATGAATGAGTTGCACATGTTGCTAGGAATTTGTTAGGAAAAAACTCGACTTTTTACAGGTCTCATTAATTTTTTATAATCACAAAATGGCATCATATTTATTATATAAAAAAATTCAGAAGATTAAAATGTCGGCTACAAATTCTGGCTACTATTTTATTGTGAAAAGCAAATTTTGTAACCAATTGATGAGGTGGGCATGACATGAAGCAGTCACAAAGAAGAGTCAGATGATAATATTGATCAAAATGCAAAGGACGAAGGACAACATGATAGAAGGGAGAAGGTCTATTGCAAACTGCTGGGTAGCATAATTTACTCATAACAAGTTAAGAATACCAAGGTTGTTACATGAACTAATGCAAGTTGCTTGAAATTTAGTAAAACTAGGTGAATGATGGAATATTTTTTTTCTTGTTCATCTCTCTTTTGACAAACTGGATTTGAAACATTTTTTCCACTTTTTTCTATTTATGGGAGACCTATATCAGAAGCAAACGATTGATTATGTTATTGGTCACGGATATCCTATAGAACAAGAAAATCACAAGGAGCATGCACTGTCACAACGAGTGAATCTAAGTCAATTGTAGATATTTGATGATGAAGGACCTTCCACCACCGTGGTGGAATAATGGTAAATGGGGGCTCTGATTCTAACGATATTTGATGATGAAGGACCTTCCACCACCGTGGTACTATGGCCAGGTGTAATAATGGTAAATGGGGGCTCTGATTCTAAAGCAAAACTTAAAGTAAGTACCCTAATTTGATTACAATCCTGATTTGGTGTAGGACAAAGTAAGACCACCAACTGCTATCCCTTTATTTGAATGTTAGTATCCACAGAGAATGATTTTCTCAATTTAAGGTGAACCTTAAAACAATTCAAATATTTGTTATAAAAAATTTTGCAAATCGAAACAATATGAGAGACCCTCAATATTCTTCCTCCAATAAGTAATCCAGTGGAAACCAATTCAAATCTCTGTGAAAGGAGTGGCGGCATCCATTTTGGTTGAGATTTTAACCACCAATGACTTGGAGAACTTAGAACTAGCAGAATCCCCTTTTAAAAGTAGAACCAAGAGAATAAAAAGTGGATTGGCTAATTTATAAACTTCAAATCAAGGAAATGTGACTCAATTCGTAGTTATAGGTGGTTTTTTGGAAGAATTGAAGTGCGAAAAATTTTTATGCATCTACGTTAGAAAACCATTC